AATGAAAACAAATGTTATGCACTGTTATAAAGTCAGGAACATGTACAAACATACAAAATAAACCCTGGAGGGTGATAATACACTACCTCAAGCTGATAGACGTGTACCATTCCATTTAAAATGAACAAACACATAAAGCCATCATTTCAAAGTGAAAAATAACTCCTTGCAGCCCAGCAGGCTACCATCTATACTAGCACTTCTAGGTACCAGGAGCCATGAGAAGCAACACAAAACTGTTAGGAAATCATATATCCAAAAGATTATATATGTATCCCTTCCTCAGGAAAGCTGCACAAAATATTGATGATAACATTTTCCTGGTGATTGTCACTGAAGTGGAAGAGTCTTGCTTAAAGTGTCCTGAAAGTCTCTGAACCTCCACCATACAATACTCAACTTTTTCTCTTTGGTTTCATAGATATTGTTCAGAACACAGTACACAAATATAATAGGATGCAGCTGCCTCAAGCTTTCCAAGTAATGCCTACCATCTATCTTTCAGTTTCCCAAAGGCATGGTCCAATGTCATCCTGCAGCTGCTTATGTGGTAATTAAACAGTTGTTTTCTGCAGTAGAAATGTCCAGTAGAAAGGCTGACATGTTGACACCATTAATGTCTATGCTGATAGCTACACTAGCAAATCAGCCTTTGTTCAATTACGGAAAATAATTAAGAGATTCCAAAAATTTGAACACCATGCATTTTTTTTCAGACCAACCAAATATTAATGCTGGTAAAACTACTGCAGATCCATGTAAGAGAGTGTGGGCTAGTTGCTCAGAAGCCTGACTTGAGGCACCCTTGACTGGTCATTGCTGGGGCCAGGACCATAAGGGTCAAAAGGGTCAGGGGCCCACTGCAAGGGACATCCAGAGGCAAGGGTCTGGGGTTCTGATTAGCCTTGGAGGTGGCCAAAGGTCCTGTGAGGGGCCAAGCCCGAGATGGGGGAAGAGTGCAGGGGGCTAGGCAGCCCAGAATGAGGGTGGAGTAGGCCTCCTGATTAGGAGGGATCTAGTTGGGGTCCAGACCAGAGTGTTATGGGGCCCAGTGTGGGGCTGGAGATGTTAAAAACTTAGACGCCATCTGCGAGGCATGGGCTGCAGTGTAGGGAAGGTTTTGGAGCCTCAGATAACACCCTCAGCATCAGGGCAGGAAATGGTTAGCCTCCCACCTGGATAATATTTTAATCATTTTCCATTAAGGCATGACAGGGGAGGCAGGTGGTTGGACCAGAAACAGGTGGGTGGGCCAGCTTCTAACTGGCCTTGGGAAGGTCCCCGTTACAGTGGTGCATTGGACAGGTTCATCAGCCCAACAGCTGAGTACAGTAGTACCTTCTCCTTCTGTAGTGGAAGCGTTGAGAGCTCAGACAGAGAATGAGGCATGGAGCCCAGAGTTATAGAGTCTAGTAGAGAGAGAGGCAGTAGGGTGGCCCCACACAGAGTAGGGTTGAAATGGGAGGATGCCTGAAGGGCTGTGCGTGAGAGTGTGCTGAGCAGGGCCGAACTGTGAGTAAGAAAACATACGATGGAGGCATTCTTGAATTCTTGAGGGACTACTTCCTATGCCCATGTACTGCAGATGATCTTGGTTAGTTTCTCTGAGAAAAAAATAATAATTGTATTATAGTAAAAGATAGCTAATATCTTTTCTGTACCTACAGAGGCCAGATTTATCCCATCTGCCTACAGACCTCAGAACCTTCACTGAAAAAACAAGTCCCACCCACTAACTTCTATTTAAACAACTGAGAGGAGTCCTGAGAAGGTGAGTTGTAGGAGAGCATGAGAGCAATGGGTATGAGTGACTAACTCCTCTAAGTTATCTATGGGCTTGTCTACACATGCATTAATGCACCTTTTCATATGCATATTAAATTTCATAGTTTCATAGTTTCTAGGGTCGGAAGGAACCTGAGCAGATCATCTAGTCCAACCCCCTGCCATGGCAGGAAGAGCACTGGGGTCAAAAGACCCCAGTAAGGTGGTCATCCAACCTCATCTTAAAAACCCCCAGGGTGGGAGCCTGCACCACCTCACTTGGAAGCTGGTTCCAGAC